AGACCACTGGGGTGCCTGAAATGTAGTCAGAGTAAGGGGCGGCACTTTGTCCCCTGGGAGTGATCTCGGCTCCTTTCCCTTCCTCCACGTGTGGGTCCTGATGGGACAGATGGTAGATGGTGAGCTGTTTCTAAGGCTTTGGGAGGGAGCCTTAGGGTTGCTTTCCCTCGGGGTCATCCCACCTAACTCTCCTCCCCTCCCCGGTGCACATTCCTTACTGCCCAGGGCAGCAGAGAAGCCAGGGAGGGTACTCAGGGCCCCCAGAAATCCTGGCAAAGGGCTCCAGTTTGGAGGCCATTCCACAACACCCTCAAGGGAACTTTTCAGGGAGTCGCCGGGGCTTGGCGAATGCCATTTGCTGGATAGATGGCTTTTAGGACCCAGGGCCAAGTGAAGGCCCAGGCCCAGTGGTTGTGACACCCTGGGGCTGCAGGCTGGCCTGCCCCACCCTGCCCCACCTCAGGTGAAGGTCCCCTTCTCATCTTGAGGAAGCAATGAATAGGTCCTGCATAGATTCATCCCCTTATTTATTTTTTATCTTTTTTTTTATGGTGGTAAATAAAGCCAAAGTTAGAATTGGATATTTTCTCTGCTCCAGGACCTTGATTTTTGCCCTGGGGTTGGGGTGTGATAAACCAGCAGCTCCTCCCAAATCTGTGGAGAAGGTTGGTTCTGTGCTACCCTTCTTCAGGAACTAGTTTTCAGGGCTGGAATCCTCTGGAGAGCTGTTGACACACAGACTGCCTGGCTCAGCCCCAGAGGGTTTCTGATTCTGTAGGTCTGGGGTGGGGCTGAGAATTTACATCTCCCACTAAGGGCTGCGGTACTGCTGCTCTTTGGGGTGGCTGTGGAGGAGGGTCCTGCCGTGTTGGACCAGTTGGATCAGCCCCTCAGACAGCAGTGGGCTGTTTGAGATTTCAAGCAGAGCCTTGTGGCTTCCCTCTAGCCTCCTTTGCCTGGCTGCTTCTAGAACACGAGTACAGAACATGAAGTGCCCCATTGCTTTGCACAGCAAGGGTTGCGTTTCCAAACTCTTGCCTGCTGCAGTGAACCTTTTAGCCTGAGGTGGAAGTCCAGTCCTGCCTCTTGCCAGCGAGAGGAAGGCAGAGGTGAAGGTGGGAGGGGAGAGCTCCTGTTTCCACAGTACACAGGCCAAAGCGGAAGGCCAGGCGCAGAGCATCTGGAAGGGCAGCAGTGTCTCAGGATGAGATTGTTAGAAGTCAAAGAACGTGACTTAGGGAGCGCATCTGCGCTCTCAGGCCCTGTGCCAGGAGTCACACATTTTGTCCAGAAGAAATTTAATAGGGTTCAGAAACTGGATTCAACTCTGCTGTACCACTTAACAGGTCTGGGATCTTGGAGACATGTGACGTAACCCCTCTAAACCCTGGTTTGTGGCTCTACAGTGGGAATAACTCTCATAGAGTTGTAATTGTGAGGATTTAATGCGACAGTGCCCTTGGCATGTGACACACAGTGCTCAAAATTTGTTAGCTGTGATTGTCATTGTTAAGTATGATGGCAGAGTTTGAGCTAAGTGTGTCCTGGAGTTTGGAACCAAGAGTCACGGGTCAGGAGAAATCAGGGGGGCCTCATCTAGAAGACGGCCATGAGGTCGGGGGTAGAGTGCAGATGGCATTCTGGGGCAAGGAATTGAGCAGGGGACTGGCGGGTGACAGGGCCAGAAGGGAAACTGAGGCCAGAGCGTGGAGAGCCTTGAATGACAGGTTAAAGAACCTGACCGTTTCCTACAGTCTTGAGGGATGGGAGTTGGGAGAGTGTTTGGGAGCTCAGCCCACAACCAAAGAGAAGGCCCACATACGTGTCATGGGGCCTGGTGTTGCCACCCCGCTTCACCTCCACACTTCGGTCTTGCCTGTGCCAAGGGGTGTCTCCCCCACCTCTTCTCAGCACCCACCTCACCAAGGTTAGAAGACCCAGAGCTGGCTGGGTCTCCTGGTGCCCAATTGTGCATTGCCTGCTCAGATGCTGAGAGACACCGCATGATGCTCTAAGGCTCCATCTTACCAAAGCCTGTGCCAGCCACGGGTGGGGCAGTGACTTTCAGGGGTTGCTGCCCTATCCAAGGCATAGCCTGAATCCCAAGCCAAGAAACACATCAACTTCCTGGAACTCAAAGCCATCATCACAGCTGTCTCAGCCCTCAGAGCGCATGTGACGCTGTCCTTGTTTGAAGAGACGGTTTTGCCCTGATCTTTGCAGGCAGGGGGAGAACAGGCATGGCTTTGGTGGAGCATCTAGCCTGGTTTGGTTCTGTCCCCAGCGTAGCCAAGACTCAGCCCATCCTACAAGAGATGCCTTTGCTGCTTGTCAAGCTCCCTAGTAGTTCAGGCCATTTTAATATCTGAACTCCTCTTAACTAAACTCTTTTAGCCTGTCCTGGACTGGTCAGCTAAGCTCTCAGACAGCATGGATCATCTGGCCCAAGCATTTGCGAGCATTGTGGAGGCTCAGCACTGTGTCCATCCCAGTCAAGTGTTGTAAAGCCCACTGTTCAGTTGTCTGTGGAAACATCTTTCCGGAGTCTCAACCATCATCCTAGGCATCTAAAACTCACTCCATGTTTCTTCTAGGGCTCTTAGGCTTAGGACAGTTTAACTTTCACTCGAGAACCCTCAGGTTTTTCAGAAGCTGGGATACACCCTTTGTTTCTAAACCATCTTCTTTTTTATCTTTCATCTCTTCACTGCTATCTCCTTGGACCTGGATACCCGCCCCTTAATCTTTTCTTTCTGGTTTTACATAGCATTGTCCCTTATCTCCCCAGGGCTGGGGGCTAGGGGTTGGGGGCTGGCCTTACCCTCCCCGCTAGCCCTCTCAGAGGGACTTCTGCCCTCTCCCACTCTTCCTGTGGGAATGCAAATCCAGAAGGTCTGCAGCCTCGACCCACACCCTAGGGTCCCAGCCTGTCACATTTCTCCTATAGGAGTCATCCTCTGGGGCACAACTGCACCCAGTCTTTCTTTTTTCCTTTCCTTTTTCTCCGAGGCAGTAGTGCTAGAGGTAAGGGGTATCTTGAAGTTGGTTGCAAGAATCGTCTTGTACTTTTCTACTCCTCAAGTTCCGTGAATCCCTTAGGCCTAAGAGAACCCTAAACAAACAGGGTGGTGACTCTTGTTACTCTGCTTAATTGCAAGACATTCTCAATATTCAAGTCATTTACACCCAAGGTCAAGAGGATGAAAGTTTTAAGGTCAAGTGCTGAGCTTGGCCTTCTTGCTCTAGAAAGATCTCCCTTTCCCTGCCATGTCCTGTGTGCTTCAGGGAAACTTCTAGGTGTACTTTTCTTTGAATATCTTTTTTAAATGAGAGAAGGAAATGAGTCTACATTTCAGTGGAAATCTTAGCTATAGTCTGGAAATTTTTAATTCCAGAGACTTGTCTCTGACCCTGAAGCATGTTTTTATTAATTATGGGTAAAACTATAGTTTACTCCACTTTACTTATGTGGAGATCTTGGCAGTTTCTAGAAAAAAACCATGAGTCTATTCCTCTTTAGACTTTCTTCCTAATAAAAATTTGACATTAATTTTAAAATGCGTAACTTTGCTTTTTTTTTTTTAAACAGTATTTAATTTTGCCTTAGGTATCTTTAGGGTCAGATAGGTGGGGATTTTAATAAAGTCGACTTGATGCGTAGTTTAAAGGAGGGCCGGTCGTATATCAGGTAAAACAAGGATTCTTATCCTGGGGTGTCTGTGTTCATCCGATTCTCAAGGAGGGTCCTGCTGCAGGAAATATGGAGAACTACTGGGGTAGTGACAAGGTCTGTGTCCCATTCAGGGGCTGTCCCTGTGAGTTACTCCTTGTTACCTGATACTTTGTTTGAAATCCAAAGAACTCTTCAAAAGAGAAAGGCACCAAGGAAAAGATGGAGAATTGAAGCATTGTGGCGAAGGTACGCAGAGAAAAAACTGCCCTGGGATAATCACTGCAGAGTTTTTCCCCGGTAGAAAGGGTTGGTGGGGTTTTCTCACCTCCAGCAGGCTGGTCTAGCTCGAGGGTTTGCCTGCAGAAGTGCTCAGTAACTATTTGTGGACAAAGCAAGTAAGATTCAAAATGATCACCCTGCCGCGTAAATGGCCAGTTTGTCTCCAGACACTCCAAAAGGGGCTAAAAGTGAGAAAACACACCAAGCAGTTGTTTCTCTGACAGGTGTTGTCTGCATGGGGTTTATGTTACTTCTTGAGTCTTCTCCCAGTTTTTCACTCGTCAGCTTAGCTGAGGGGTGCTGTGTTCAGAGCCAGAGAGAACGTGACTGAATGCCATAGCTCTGGGAAACGCTACATTCTGGTTTTCTCCAACTTTGTCTATGGCCAGACACAGCTTTCTCCCAGTGCAGGGCTTTGCAGCCCTTGACACCCCAGAACAGACTTTCTCAAACTCTTGAAGGGCATGTGTAATTGGAGACGTTTTCTGCATCTTCCCTACAGAAAAGAAGAGGTCTGTGGTTGGTCCTATTTGACATGCGTTACGAACACTTGCCCCCTCACTTGGGAAAAGATGTAATAATCTCTCCTTTATGTTAAGGCACTGTTTAGGTGAATATTTCTTACTTTCTTCAACTCTCTTCCCCCTCCCTCTGTTTCTGATAGCATTGATTGTTGTCTTGCTTTTCTCTTCCCATTAAATTGGCAGTCCATCGGCATCTGCTATGAGCATGCCATTAGGATGCTCGAAGCTCCACTCAGAGCCCGTGGTCCAAGCCGTTCTCATCTGGCATTGCCCTCGATGTTGTGGGAGTATGCTTGGGGGCAGGGGGATTCCTGTCCAAGGCGCGCTCAGCTCCAGTGGCTCTTGCTTAGATGCTAATGGAACAGCTCTGGGTGGAATCGGCCTAGAGCCAGCAGCTTGCTTGTAATTGCAGGCAGGAGATGGGAAAGGTTCTCTTGTCCTAATTTTTGACTCCCAGTGATGTTGAGTAGTGGATCATTTCTGGTCTTACCCCCCTTTTAATGTCACTGTTTTTCTTTTTTCTAGCTTGTTCCTACTCTGTGCTCCAAGAGTGGTGCCTCTGAGGTGTGACCCTGCCCACGTCTGGGCCCAGCCAGTGCCAGCTCCTCAGTAAGGAGGGCAGCTTGAAAACACAAAGAAAGCAGGTCAGTGAAACTTTACTGACTTTTCCTGAGTCACAGTAACGTTGAATGTTGAGTTTCCTGTGCCCTCCCCACATACCCTTTGGGTTGTCCTTCCTCTTTTCCAGGTCCTCCTGAGGCTTTGGTGCAAAATCATGTTGAAATTGTAACTGTGACATGCTGGTTCTTCTTGATCTGATGGGCCCGAGATGTGGGGATGAGAAATCTCAGAAAGGATGCTGAGGGCTTGTCTCGCAGGAAGCAACAGTGCAGACTCCTCACTCCTTTCTTCTCTCTCCCTCCCTCCCTCCCCTCACGTCCCGACCCTGTGTGTTAAAAACTGGAACACCAGCCAGTCCACTTGGCAGAGTTGTTCATGTCTGTGCCTCAGGAACTTCATCTGGGTTCCCAGTCCTCTCTGATTCCAGTTGAGAGGATTGTGTTAAAACAGGGACAGCAATTTTTGGTTTTATTTTCAATTTAATTTTTTAATTATCATCATTATTGTTATTATTTTGCAGTCTGAGGTGATGTCAGGGAGAAGAAGTGGTACAGAGGGGAGAATGGAAATTCTAGGATTGTAAATATTCAGAAAGAAAAATGTGCTTTGTGAATAGACCTTAAACAGTTAAACTATCTTTCATTCCATCAGGTTGAGAATCAGAGGGTTTAGGTTTGTTGGTTTGGGCTGTTGAGTGTAGTCTTGGGTGGGGCATGGGGTAGGTAGGATCGACTAATACTGGCCAACTTGTTCTGGTTAAATTATCACGTAGATGAGCCTTTGGGTTACGGTGGATTTTTTTCTTCTAACATAGAACAATGAGCTGCATTGTGCATTGCACCGGCTTCTCCTTCTGCCCTGCTCCGTGCTACCGAAGGGAGAACTCAAATATAAGACACAGGAACAAACTGGAATGCAATCTTGTCACAGCCCAAGGGGCTGGTTGTTGGTTGCTTCTGAAACAGCTTCTTGGGGATGAGTCCAATGACTCTTTTGCTTTTCAAACAGTATAGCCGGGAGTTTCATTTTATTAATTGCATTTTCAGATTGGAGATGAGAAGTGCATCTATTTTTAAAAATTGCTATTTACTTACATTTAAAATAGGAAAAGGAAGTAAATGTAGGTGATCTTGGTGTTGCCAATGGGTAGTGTCACACTTTACACTTTATCCCCAAGGAGGAAATACATTTAGTAAATGTCTTCCTGTCCAGACAAAATGGGAAACTAGCTTGCATGACTTTTCTCCTTTTCAAGTGGGATAAGCCCTTGCAACTTTCATCTCTTATGTTAGTTAGCTGTGGCGACTGCTGCTAGGCATTCTTTTTATTTAAGACACTTTGATAGCTTGCAAGAGTGTATCTTTCATGTCATGATGACTGCAAGAATTCTTACTGGCAATTTGGCTCTGTTTACTGAATATATTTTTGTCAATTTGCCTATTGCTTATTTCTCGCCTTCCCTCTTCCTTTACTCATCAATAGAATTAGTATATATTTTTTGTAACTTAAAATTTTACATTTAGGCCGGGCGTGGTGGCTCACGCCTGTAATCCTAGCACTCTGGGAGGCCGAGGCGGGCGGATTGTTTGAGCTCAGGAGTTCGAAAGCAGCCTGAGCAAGAGCGAGACCCCATCTCTACTAAAAATAGAAAGAAATTAATCAGACAACTAAAAATATATAGAAAAAAAAATTAGCCGGGCATGGTGGTGCATGCCTGTAGTCCCAGCTTCTTGGGAGGCTGAGGCAGGAGGATCGCTTGAGCCCAGGAGTTTGAGGTTGCTGTGAGCTAGGATGACGCCACGGCACTCACTCTAGCCCGGGCAAAAGAGTGAGACTCTGTCAAAAAAAAAAAAAAAAAAAAAATTTTACATTTAGTCCTAAAGGTATTTAACCTGTTCCCAGATTTGAGTAAACTCTACTACATTTTTCTTTTCTAAATATAGTAATAGGACAAAAGTGAGATCTTCTTCAAAACTTTTAGTATGAATTGGTAGAAAGGTTCGTTTTCTTTTACTGACATAACATAATTATAGTAAAGATAGATTTCTAGCCAGTCATTTCATAATTTTCTGTGCATTAAAATTATGGGAGAGATATTTAGAAGAACAAGGTGAATCCAGTATTGAAGATATCCATTTGTGAATCAAATTCATAATTACATGCTGATTGATTAAAAAATTCTAGGGAACTGATGATACTTCTGTTAGCAATACATTAAGGAAAAAAAGAGGTTTCGTGTTTATACACACTTGTATCTGCATGTTTTTTTTCCTTAAGAAATCACCCATATAAACTTTCAAAGATAGTTAAAAACAGAAAGTTTAAAGTATAATTTTTAATAAATTTAAATGATCTGCTAGCATGGGGAGACCTCATGGAAAGACAACAGTTTGTTTTTTTTTCTTTAATTTTGGCCACAGCTTTCATCTCATTGTCGGGAAAGATGGAGATAAGACTGGAGCAGTCATCGTAAATTGTATTCTTCTGTGGTTAGACCTTTTCCCTGCCTTCTGGAAAACCATTTGGTTCACAAGGAAGACACATTTTGTCTCTTGAAAAGTACTGTTCCTAAGATTCTCTTTGGCCCTTTTGGCCGGACTGGAAGCATTATCATAAAGTCCTGTCCCCAGACCTTTCTTACACTGCACTGGAAGGCTGCACGTTAGTAGCTGCTGTGGGTGTTGCTGTTTATCATAACCCAGGTTCCATCCCCTAAAGTTGGAGGAGGAAACCACAAGAAATCATATTCTCTCTTGTGTTGTTTCTATGCATTGTCTTTACAGCTGAGATGATGAGCTTGGTCTTTGGCTGTTGTTGTGGACTTGTAGAATTTATTAACACACACTGTAGGGATAGTAGGATATTAAGATAATTTAAATATTACTGCTAGGCCTTCAGCTATAGAATATCTTCCCAGACAAAATGAGGAAAACAATTTACCTATGGACTTCTTACCTACGGGCCACAGTACTTCTAGTTAATTTTGACATGGCCATGGTTTCCCCTGTCCCAGTGACGTCGAGTTTGCCTGTTGGCTTGGAAGGTTCCTTTTTGTGTTACCAGCTTTATTTTAGGTCTGACGCAATACCGTCCAGACTCAGCCTTTCGTGAATGCCTGAACTGTTTTGTTTTTGGTCAGTGTTAGGTGAAGGCACGAGGGGGGTTAGGTGGAGCCTGAGAGCTCCCGAGAGGGACTGGGGCACAGTGTGGAAGAGTATTTGATGTATGTGGATAAATATGAACTTCGAAAAGTAAAATACTGCACAGTCTTTTTGGCTATTGGGAGTGAGTGTGGCAGCACTGTAAGGTCATAGGTCAAGGTTGAAAACTACAGAGTATGGTTTGAGAAGGAAAAAAAAAAGACTTAGACATTGCCTCTCATTTGTGCTTTTAGTATTTTCATGATTATAGTGGTCTGAGATTACGCTAAGTGAAAAGATGTTCACTGAACCCTTTTTTTTTTTTTTTTTTTTTTACCTTTGCTTCCCTTCCAGTGTCCACGAGTGGTACCAAGAGAAAGAAAAACAAGTCAACACAGACTCATTTCCTACCCCATGTGGATGTCAGCTGTCACGGGGGGAAATTTCATAGTGTATCAGTTGGGGCAGAAAATGGAGGTAATTAGCAATATGTTGGGGGGGGGTCTTCTTTCCATTTCCTGGGGTATATTACCTACCTGTATTTTTTTAAGAAACAGGCTTTTATATGCCAGTTTGAAATTTGGTTGTAATTCTGATAGGATTGGCTTCTCAAATCTCTTATAAAATTCAGGCTTCCCAGTAAAATCACTGTATTGCAGCAGTGGAGTTAAATGAAGTTTCTCATCAGTACTTTTAGGTCCAGAACCTTCGTGGAGTAGTAAATCAACACAAGTTCTTGGGAGGATGCTGGCCGGGGGCAGCTCCCTGGGTTTCTTAATTGTTGGCTTGGCTTTTCCCACCTCTGCCTTACAGAGCTTAGGAACTGCAAAGAAACCTGCCTCCTATACCTTTGAGTGCTGCTGGTGACATATACTCAGAAAGGAAGCAAGATTATCAGTAAGTCTTTGCTATGCCAAGACTTCCTTCAGATGAAAGCTTCAGTCATTCTGGGCACGACTGTGGGCTTGAACTGGAGAAGGAGGGTGTTGGGCATTGTTGACCCGAGTTATAATCAGAGAAACTATGGCCAGCGCCCCCTGGCTATGAAAGAAGCCTAAACTTCCCATTATCACATCTACAATTTCTCATTTTCAGTTTTATGGCAAAGGCTTCTTAGAAGCTTAAAGCCCTGTCCCAATGACGTCGAGTTCGCCTGTTGGCTTGGAAGGTTCAGACCTGTCTTCCATCAATACCATGATGTCAGCGGTAATGAGTGTAGGGAAGGTCGCCGAGAATGGCGGGAGCCCGCAGAGCATCAGGTCCCCTGCGAAGCCTCCAGGACCAAACCGGATTGGCAGAAGGAACCAGGTAAGCATTTGTGCTCCAGGTGATGACCTCCGGTGGGTTCAGTCTATGAGAACATCAGCAGATGTCCCCCAGCTTCGTAAGACAAAACGCTGGAAGCGTTCAGAATGAAACAGACATACCCGGAGGCCTTCATAATTTTTCAAGAGCAAATTTTACACAGCTTATGTCATTTTCCTTTCACGGAGAAAATTTTCTTTGCCGCGGGGTCAATGTTGGTGAAAGCGCCCTTATTCCTGGCCCGTCATTTGATTTGAATGCAAGCTTTCTTCACATGATGGCCACAGCAGAGAATGTGACTGAGTCCTTACTGGCATGTGATTCGTTTCCTTATTCACACAGCTGCTTAATTGGGCTTTCGAAGCCCACCTTCTTAATATCTTTTTTTTTAAATTGTCTTCAGATTAGATAGCAAATTAGTACTGTTTGTGCTGGGGCTGCTGTTCAGCTTTTCATCCTTGAAAAAGCACAGAATTTGGCTCCAAAGAATTCCATTTAAGACACTATTAATATTTAGTCTTCTTGTGATTTTCAGTGTGCATCAGATCAGGAGACGTAAGAAAGAGTAAATAGGTGGGATTGGGAAGGATTAATGGTATCATAAAAGTTCATGTCTCCTCTATTGGGAAAGGTGAATCTTTAATGTACAAATGGGCACTTTGGAAAAGTTGTTGCTATCTTGGTGGCAACATGTTCAACATAGGGTAGGTCAAGGCGGGAAGTAGAGGCTGAATAATTCTCATTTTCGCTCTGAATCCATAGAATGTGAGTTGACTTCTTCACGTTTAATTTTTGGTTTAACTGATTTAATGGGGCTATAGTAAACCCTGGGAGAGGTGTTCTTCTGAGTTTGTCTAGGAACCAGGGATGGACAAGAAAGTAAACTTGCTGGGCTTTTGTGAATATATTTTCTTTTTTATTAATAATCCTACTGTGACTGTCCTTATACAGAATTCTGTGAGTACACGACTGTGATGGTTTTCTGTAAATTCTTAAAAGTAGAACCTTAATTAAGGCTTTTGATAACAACTCGCCCTCCAGGAGAAATTGCACAAGCCCAAAACCCCACTCCCCCAGTGTGTGGGAATGTGCATGTCTCCACACCTTGCTTGAGGCTGAGAACTTGGCAGCGTTCTGTGATGTTTTAGGAGTACTGATGCTTTTCTCTTTCTTTTTTTCCTTGTCTCCGTATGCCTCTCTTCTATGGGTGCCTGAGAAAATACTCAGCTTGTATGACTGTGGCCTGAGTCGAGAAGGAGCACTAGCTCTGGGAAGAAAAGGTTTATTTCCACTCTCATGTGACCATCTGTCTGTTCATCTGTCCATCCATCTCTCCACCCATCAAACAATATATACCCAGCTCCTGCATTCAGCTGGCTGCTGTGCCAGGTGCCAGGGATTTCGGGATGAATAAGATAGTCAAGGTCGTCCTCCTCCTCATCTTTCTCTGCTTTACCAGGAACAAGTGGAGTAATAGGGAAGAACTTTTCCTTAAATAACACAGAGTTGGCCCAAGTCCAGGCTGTGGTTCACATTTGGCAGTTAGGGCCCTGGAGGACGCCTGCAGCACCTCCCATGCCTGCATGCTCGGTGGAGGTTGCCTCTCCAGGTGTGAGGACGCAATTGTGCAGGCGTAACTGGGCCACTTCCATCCCCCTCCTTTCTCCTCCAGGGATCAGGTGCACTGGCTTCATTTTTGATAGAGACGTCTAAACCAGAGATAGTCTGGTAAAATACAGTGCTTAATCTAAAAAAACAACACAGGAGAAAGTTCAGGGAAGAAGGAAGCATCTTCCTTACCTGGGGTCTGGAGGGGGAGGGGTAAGAGAGCGAACCTAGGGAAAGTCCCATCGGTAGGAGCTCAGAGTTCCAGGACAGATTAGCCCCAGCCGGATGCTGACAAGGGTGCCAGATTGTTTCATTATGGAATGGTTAGTTATCACATTAGCTGCTAATTTTATCTTTCAGCTCAGGAAGTGTGCTTCTTCCACCAGCAAGGCTGCAATAACTAGATTCAGAAATCTCCAGTAGGGGCTCTCTTCCAGCATCACGATGCTCTCTTTTCTATTAAAATTTGGTTTGTTTTAAAATGTTAAATCTGAGCCCACAGACCTCCTTCCAAGACCCCCTTGGATTTTGTGGACTCGTATTACAATCTCCAGCACCAATTACGCTGCCAGCCTCAGAGGTTTGGGTGCCAGTTAATGATCAACCCCAGAGTCAATACCAGTCAGCCCCACCAGTTGCACAGTTTGTCTGGTGTCTACTTCAAGGTGAACACAAGATGAATTTTTAAAAAAATTCGTCCCTTCAAGAGGCTGGCCCTTTGGAGGCCTGACTTTTTAAGATATATTTACATTCTAGTGGTGAATCTTTTTTCAACATTTAAAAAAATATATATGTATTATTAGCTGGGTACAGTGGTGCACACCTGTAATCCCAGCTAAGGAGGCTGAGTCAGGAAGATCGCTTGAGCCTAGGAATTCGAGACCAGCCTGGGCAACACAGTGAGACCCCTGTCTCTTTAAAAAATATAGATACATATATATATACACACACACACGTATATATATATATACACACACACATATATGTGTGTGTGTATATATATATATATAAATTGTTGATCTAATAATTTAAAAATAATACCCCCCAGAGTTTGAACTCCACCCCAACTTTTGGCCTGGCCATGACATCCCTCACTATTATATCGAGTGCTCTTATTTTGTTGCTATTGCTTTTAATTTTGATTTTCCCTGTGAGGTCTTTGGCTAGCTCGATTCTGTCTATGGTTGTAGAACTGGGCTGAGAAGGTGTAACATCCCCGTTACCCCCCCGACAATTATACCTCCGGGAGGACTAGAAGTATGTGAGTAGCTAGGTGAGAGTGGGAATTTTTTTACTGTCTCCGATATTCAGCCTACGTAGCATTCATATCCTTAATTCATTTTAATTTTAGCGTGAGAAGATGCGTGGAGTACCTAGTTCTCAGACCCAGTTCCACAGATTAGGAAAAGGTTCCTGTTGCTTAGAATGAGACCTGTTAGTCTTTGAAGAGGCGTGAGCGGGAAGGTCGCTGCAAACTAGACACCGTCATGCTCTCACTCCACCCGTCTGGTTTATGGCGCCATTTGATTTTATAGTTTTCAGGGTGACTTTTATTTTCATCATCTCTCATGAGCAACCGCAAGGGTGTTTCCTTTCTGTGCCTTGGGGTTAATCCCTTTTTGGGTTACACTTTATATAGCATAGTGGTTTAGGGCATGGGCTGTGAGCATCTGGCCTGAGTTTTAATGCTGTGTCTACTACTTAATAGTTATTCAACTTGGAGCAGATTACTTGTCTCTCCGTATCCCAGTTTCCTCGTCCAGAAAATGGGATTCATAATGGTGGCTGTTCTTAATGGTTGTGAAAAAAACCTGACATTTCTGTATATACAGAGTTTGAAACATAGTAAGTGCTCAATAATTGGTAGTATTTGCAAGGAACAGAAACTCATTTAAATGTGTACAAATGAAAAGAGATGTGTTGAAAGATGCCCAAGGACAGGAAGTGACCTATAGCCTGGACAGAGCATCTAGCCCTAGAGTCAGTGTCCTCCGTCCCCCCACACCCCAGGCTACCTGGTCTCCTACTGTCTTCTCCAGCTGCTTTCTCATGGTTTGGGCTTGCCAAGGTATTGGGGCCCAGCCCCAACTCTACTTGAACCCTCAATTCAAGTGCTCATGGTCACCTAACTTAGTAACATGATCATCCCTGAACCTGGGCACAGATCAGCATCTTTGGGGGAGCTTGTGAGACAAACAGATTTCTGGGGTTTGATTCCCCCTTCCTCCATGATTCTGACTCAGCATGTTGAGAATCTCGTCTAGAAGTGTGTATTTCAGAAAGCCGATCTTTAGAAACCCACTGATAGTAGTCTCCAAGCATCCAAGTTCCAGATTCCCGGGAGAGATGCCCAACTCCAGGTCCAGCTAGTTTGGGAAAGGGGAACAGGGACCCGTGGTGCTTAGCAGCTGTGTGGATGAGGAGTCAATGATGGGCATGTCCTGCCAAGTCTCCAGGAATTGTTTGGAAAGAGGAGCTGTCACATAAGACTGGTGAAGGAGGCTGGCCTTTTCCTTAAAAAGGTAAAACGTACCGCCTGAAGAAAGCTTGTCCTGTATGTTTCGAGGGAACATAAAATGAGCCACTTCAGCAAGTAGTGAGCTGGTTCTTTGTCACCCTCTGTGAAGTCTTCACTTTGGGCTGTCATTCTTATCAAGGTCTTGACAAGGGACAGCATTCTTCTTACCATTATATTTTTAGTCATTTTTTGTGATCAGTGTTGAGCAGATGCTAGCGTCAGGCAGAGCAGCCACGTCATGCCAATCAGGTACACAGCAGGGTGCTGGGGGCTCCCACTATTGCTAGGGTGGGTTTCTCGGATGAGAACCTCATTAGCTCTTCGGGGCCTTGAAAGCCAGTGGAAAATACTGCCTGGAGCCTGGATGAGACTTAAGTAGAAACATAATCCCTTTCAGCTCTTCCTTGACTCGACAGTTAATTTTTTGCCACGACAGACGATCCATTAAATGATGTCTGTGTAATAAGAATGCTAACATTTACTGAGCACTTACTATGAACCAGGCCCTGTTCCAGTGCTTTGCATGTGTTAATTTAATCTGCACCACAGCATGCTGTGGTAGATGGTTGTTTTTCCCATCTTACAAATGAGGAAACTGAGGGCGGACAGGACAGCGACCTGCCCAAGCTCATACCTGGGCAGGCTCCGGAGCCCGTGCTGTCAGCCACTTAGACACAGGTGCTTGTTACAGAAAGAAAAGACACTAGTTCACCGTGATTTGAAATTTATCTTCCTTTTAATTTCTCGTTTTAGGAAACGAAAGAGGAGAAGTCTTCCTATAACTGCCCCCTGTGTGAAAAGATTTGCACTACCCAGCACCAGCTGACTATGCACATTCGCCAGGTGGGCGGCCGCTTTTCTATTTTTGTTTTAAGTTATTCTTCATTAATGGAGGGCACAGTGATTGGATTTTAATGGACGAGTTGTGGCCATGCCTAATTTAGGTTTAGTGTCTTAATAGTTTTGAGGGGTGGCTATGGAAATGATTTTTGTGTGTTTTCGTGTTACTGTCACAAAGCACCAGGTCAACACAGAACACCTTTTCAGAACTGAACAAACATCTAGTTAACTGACCACCCATATAACAGAAGGCTTTTCATTGTATGTGGCTTGTCTGCATGAACCAAATCCCCTACAACATAATGGGATTATGGGTGTGACCCCTGTTCTTTTATGTTGGTATAAACTTTTGTTATGCTGCAGGGAATTACTTGATTTGGGATCTTTTTTGGCTTTTCTCCTTAATTATGAGATTTCTCCTCCTTCCCCTCCTTCAGTGGCGGATTCATGACAGAATATTGAGGAACACTGAAAGATTGATGATCTGTTAAAATCATAGCAGAGTACTGAGTAATAACATCAAGTTACTACAGTAACTTGGGTTCGGATAGAAATGTTCCTTCCTACCATACTTCAGAGGCCAACTCTCGACTCTATGCAGGTTTCAGTTCTCTTTCTGTGACAGCAGGCCCGAGTCATCGAATTTGAAGAAGGGATGTTGACTCTTAATGTGAGGATGAAATTTTACATACTTGCTTCATTGTTGAGAGTCCTGCTCTTAGGAGTTACCATATGTGGTCCCTTAATCTACGTATGTTTTAAGGAAAGACCTGCAAAGACCCCACTTCTCTCTGAGCATTACAATAGAAGTATTTCCAAAAGAGGAACATGAGAGTGGAGGAAGATCATACAAAATATTTATTTGCCTGTGTTCCTGATACATTTTGATACTTCAGGAAGATATTTAAAATGAAACAAAAAAAATAGCCAAGGAACTTCACTGTTTATTTTTGTTTGTTTGTTTTTTTAATGAAACTCTGGATCTGCATTTCCTAATAGCTATGTTTTTGACCCACCTTCTTAAGTGACCACTGCCATAATTGCTTTCTGCAGCACAACACGGACACTGGAGGAGCTGACCACTCGTGCAGCATCTGTGGGAAGTCACTGAGCTCGGCCAGCTCCCTGGATCGTCACATGCTGGTGCACTCTGGCGAGAGGCCTTACAAGTGCACTGTGTGTGGCCAGTCGTTTACCACCAATGGGAACATGCACAGGTGGGTGTAGGTGCCCTTTGCCTGCGTCGCTGGCTGGTATCTGGAGGTCCACAGACAGTACAGTGGCCTCTGAGCCATCACAGGACTTGCCTAAAGGCGCAGAGAATTCTTGAATTCTGTTCACTCTGTGGAAAAGCCAGAGATGGTTTTGTTTGCTTGTGCGTATTATCTCCAGGATATTAGAGGTGTCTGATCATGGGAAACAGAAGTACCTGGGCTAGGTCTGTGGCTCTTTAGGGTTTTTTGGGATAAAACACAGAGTCATTGTCCCTCTGCAAATTGGAGTTTCTTTGTTTGGGTGCCAGAGGTGGACAGCTTATCACATACAAGGAACCCTCAGGGAGTAGCGTTTATGTAATTTTGCCCTTTTAAAAATATTTGCATATGCCTACCAGGTTCCTGCAGATCTTTTCCTTGCAAAAAAATTTTTCTGGGACCTTTTAATAAATAGTTAGGTGTTCTGTTCCTGGAGCTTCAGGGTATAAGCTAGGATAAAATGAAAAAAAAGAAAATGTGATAAGTGTTAAGAATTTACTTACTGAAAGAGAAAGTGCTCACTCAGAGGTTGGAAAGAACACAGTAGTGGACATGTTAAAATTTTGTGAGATGAACCAATAGAAAATACACTTCATAGAGCGATTGTATATATTTTGAAGGGTTGGAACAGAAAGAATTTTTGGATGCTGACTTTTTTTTTACATAAACATTTTAGGAACATTGAAATTTTAGGAAAAGGAAAAAAAAGGCATTCTAAATTTCTCCTTCTCAGAAAATTAGACTATTTCTATTTTTTCATATTTCTGTCCAGTCATTATTATGCTTTCTTTAAAAAGTTGAGTAAAATTTTTTACACATTTATTTTAAAAGAAAACTTTATGTAACTGTTATGAAATCGATATGCTAGTTACATTTGGTTATATATAAATACTAAAATGAGATGGGGCAATTTATTCTACCTAAAAATCATTTTATGTGCCATCGATGGTACGCTTGGGACTTGCTGGTACCGTGGTAAGTTTCTTTATTTGGGATTAGGCCGCTGAATTCAAGTTTCAACTGCTACTTGTAAATTTCCTGCCCTTGAGCACGTTACTTAACCTCAACCTCTTTGTACCTCAGTTTCCTTGTCTTTAAAATGAGATTTTCTAACAGTATCTGCTTCATTGGATTAGGATAAGGATTGGACGATAACGAATTTTGCACACCGTTTCTGGTACAAAGTAAGCACTCAATACATGTTATTTATTGTTATTTTCATTTCTAAGTAATGCTGCAATAATTTAAAGGCTGTGGATTTCTCAGTCTAAACTCCTAAACATGGGGTATAGTATGACTTCATAAAAAGTATGAATATTTTAAGAATTAAAAAAAAATTTTTTTAAGAGACAGGATCTCACTGTGTTGCCCAGGCTGGTCTCAAACTCCTAGATTCAAGCGATCCTCCTGCCTTAGCCTCCCCAGTAGCTGGGACGATAGGCCTGAGCAAATAGTTTAAGAACCATTTTACAAAATGTTTTGCTTCTTTTTCTCTCTCATAAATTTCAATCCTGATGGGTTATTCTGTTTGACCCTCATCTCCTCCTAGGAGTGTTTTTGGATGCAAAGAAGGAATTGAATAGTGTCATTATTTTTTAATACAGTAGTTTGCATTTTAGCTTTTTGGTTTTTTACCACTAAATCGGCCTGTTGGTATCATTTTGGCTTATGTTTAGGCCTGCTGTTTCTACCCTCCGCTCTCCATAAAAAGTCCTTTGTATTTTACGTATTTACCCTTCTCAAAATCTGGTCCTAGAGGTGCTGTCTGTTCCCCTCTTGAGTGGTTTCCCCACTTTTTCCTACTGAGCTGCCACTCAGTGGAACTCCCCATGGGCCACCAGTTCTAAGTTAGAGGGGCGGTGGTACATTAGTGAGGAGGACGACCTTGTCGCTGTTTGGGCGCTGGCCATTGACCATTTGTGATCCACCTTGAGACCTTTCTGGTCTTAGGCCCAGTCAGTCAGTCCTAATTTGCATAATTTCCCCTTTGAGACAATGTCCGTGATCCAATATATGAACAAACATGTTAAACACACCTGTGAAAGCCATAGTTCCCGTCTTCCATAGTGATGTATCTGGCAGTGTGTTTCACAAGTGGTTATCACTGAGGCTCTGGCGCCCTGGGTATCAGGCACCTGGGCTAAGCACTTTCCATTTCTTTTATTTTACATCTTAATTGAGATATAGTTTACATACCGTACATTTCACCCATGTAAAGTGTACAATTCAGTGGGTTTTAGTTTCTTTTTAATTGTCAAATAATAGCTCATTTTATGGATATACCATGTTTGTTTATCCCTTTGGGTTGTTTCCATGTTTTGGTTATTATGAAAAATGCTGCTGTGAACATTTTTGTACAACTTTTTGTGTGGATGTGTTTTTTATTTTTCTTGGTAGACACTTAGGAATGGAATTGCTGGGTCATGTGGTAACTCCATATTTAACGTTTCAAGGAATTGCCAAACTGTTTTCCAGAGTGGAAACCAGTAACACATGAGGGTTCTAGTTTCTCTACGTCCTTGCCAACACTTGTTACTTCTGTCTTTTTCAGTAGAGCCACTCTAGTAGGTATGAAATGGTATCTCATGAGTTTCATAGTTTTAGTTCTTACAATGATCTATTTTGAGTTAATATTTGTGTATAGTGTAAAGAAGGCTCCAATTTAGTGTTTTCCACTATTTGTTGAAAAGATTGTTCTTTCCCCATTGACTTGTCTTGCCACAGTTGTCAAAATTCAGTTGACCATAAATGTAAGGGTTTATTTCTGTACCGTCAGTTGTGTTCTATTGATCTGTATATGTCTCCTGAGACCAGCACCACACTGTATTGATTACTACAGCTTTTTGATAAATTTTAAAATCAGGAAGTATGAGTCTTTCAAATTAGATCTTTCTCAAAATTATTTTGGCTATTCTGTTAATAGGTTGCATTAATTTTTATCTGAATACCAGGATGAACTTGTCAATTTTTGCAAAAAATGCAGCTAGCTGGGATAGTTATAGGGATTGTGTTCAATCTGTACATCAGTTTGAGGGATATTGCCATTTTAACAATATTAAGTCTTTTGATCCATGAACGTGGGATGTTTTTCCATTTGTTTAAGTCTTCCTGAATTTTTCAACAGTGTCTCATAGTTTTCAGAGTACAAATTTTATGTTTATTTTGTTAAATTTATTCCTAAGTATTTTATTCTTTTTGGTGCTATTATAAGTAGAATTGTTTTCTAATTTCATTTTAAAATTGTTCATAGTGTATTGATATACAGTTGAAATGTATATATTGATCTTATTTCATGCAACCTTGCTGACTTCATTTATTCATTCTAATACTTATTAATATTTAATGGAATTTTTTTTTTTTTTTTTTGAGACAGAGTCTCACTGTTGCCCTGGCTAAAGTGCAGTGGTGCCATCGTAGCTCACTGCAGCCTCAAGCTCCTAGGCTCAAGCAATCTTCCTGCCTCAGCCTCCTGAGTAGCTGGGACTATATGGATGCGTCACCATGCCTGGCTAATTTTTCTTTCTTTTCTTTTTTTTTTTGTAAAGACAGAATCTCACTCTTGCTCAGGCAGGTCTTAAACTCTTGAGCTCAAGCAATCCTCCCACCTCGGCCTCCCAGAGTGCTAGGATTACAGCCATGAGCCACAGTGCCTTAGCCTATTTAGTGGATTTCTTAGGATTTTCTATATCATGTCTATATTCTTTTTCTTGCCTACTTGCCCTAGCTAGAACCACCAGTGTATCGTCAAATAGAAGTGAAGAGAATGGGCATCCTTTTCTTGTTTTTGATCTTACGGAGGAAGCGTTTAGTCTTCCTGTGTTATATATGTTAGTTGTGGGTTTTTCATAAATGACCTTTATCAGTTTGAAGAAGTTCTTTTCTAACCCTAGGCTGTTGAGTGTTTTTGTCAAATGATATTTTTTGCATCTATGGTCAGGCTGTTTTTGTCCTTTTTTTCCCCCTATTCCATTCTATTCTGAATGTTAAACTACCCTTATTCCTAGGGTAAATCCCACTAGGTCAGTAGTGTATAATCATTTTCATATGTTGATAGATTTAGTTTGTTAGTATTTTGCTAAAGATTTTTGAGTTTATATTCATAAGAGATATAGGTCTGTGGTTTTCTTTTCTCTTGATGTGTTTGGTTTTGGTATCATAATAGTACTAGCCTCATAGAATAAGCTGGGAAACATCCCCTCCTCCTCTATTTTTGGAAAAATTTATTTGTGAATGGTTAGTATTAATTCTTATTTAAATGCTTGGTAGAATTCACCAGTGAAGCCATCTGGGCTTTTCTTTCTGGGCAGTTTTTTAATTACTAATTTAATCTCTTTACTTATTATAGGTCCATTTAGATTTTCAGTTTCTTCTTGAGTCATTTGCAGTAGTTTGTGTCTTTCTAGGAATTTTGGCCATTTCATGTGAGTGAGCAAACAGGTTATCACACAGTTGTTCATAATATCCCCTTATGATCCTGTTTATTCTGTAAGGTCAGTTGTAATGTCCTGTTTTTTATTCCTGATTTTAGTAATTTGAGTCTTCTCCCTTTTTTCCCTTAGTCAGTCTACCTACATGTGTGTTAGTTTTATTGATCTTTTCAAAGAACTTGCATTTGGTTTTATGGGTTTTCTTCTACTGTTTTTCTGTTCTCTGTTTTGTATGTTTTCTGCTGTAAGGATTATTATTTCCCCCTTTCTGCTTGCTTTAGTTTTAGTTTGCCCTTATATTAGTGTTGTAAAGTGTAAGACTAGATGTTGGTTAACACCATGCCTCAGGTTGCAACACCCAAAAATACTCTAGGCATTGCCCTATGTGTGTGTGTGTGTGTGTGTGTGTGTGTGTGCACACACACACACACATATATGTAATGATTTTTTTTAAATAAAATAAGTTACAATAGTAAAACTGATGAGAGTTGATAGTTTCAGGCAATAATGTATTAATACATATTTGCTGAGTACATA